ATGCCTAAATCAAATGGTTCAAGTAAATTTTTCTAGTGGTAAATACACTTTTTCGTAAAAACCAGCTTCACCTCAGAGGCATAAAGTGAAGTACATATTCTAAATGCAAAGATTGCAAAACAGGGAATGACAAAGCCTTCACCCAAGTCCATTCCTAGAGGCATAACGACTAAAAGAAAACAACTAATTATATCCAAACTGTGTGGACACTTGCCTAAAAGCAGACAAACGTTTTAAACTGATTTGACTTTATGATATTTTGTTTATATTAATAAACTATAACTTTGATTAAGATAAGACTTTTACTTTACCTTACCCTAGTAACACACGACGTCCTGTGGACGTCCAATATACGTCCAGTTTTGGTCCGGACGTCCCTGGACGTAAAATGGACGTACTATGGACGTACGAAGTAGGACGTACTTTGGGTGGACTAAATATGGACGTTCTCTGGACGTCCGTACCCGGACGTTCCATGGACGTCCATACTCGGACGTCCCCTGGACGTCCAAACTCGGACGTTTTCTGGACATCTGACATTTACCAATTATGGGATCAAATAGCAAATATTTTAATAAAATAAAAAATTATTTGCGTTAATAAAATAATTAAAAGCGAAAAGGTTAAATCATGATTAATTAAAAATTGTATAGTTTAATATATCCAAAACATGTTTTTGTTTAAGGTAAAGTGTAAAAATATTTTATTTCTAGATAATTCGTTACAATAGTTTTATTATTCTAGTTATCACGATGATATATGTTTGCTAATTCTAATAAGTAAAAATATGATTTTTATCAACAAGATGAATCTTGAAATCATTTTTCAAAGATGAACAAGTGGACAAGTTAGTATATACTCTGGCTGAGATAATGTCATTGGTCATTGTCTGTCATATCATACCTATTTAAACAACTGGCACAGTTTAATTATATTTGATATTATTAATGCTTTAATAAATGAAATAAAAGAATTCTATTTAAGCAGTATACAGTGTATTGGTTTTTGATGCTTGGCTTTGTGTTGTGGTTATTGTATATCGTTAAAGGTTTAGTACCACGTGTTAGGTTATACTTCAGAAATTGGTTTTATTTTAAAGGTAAGTGTAATTTTTACTTATTAATTATGTTTAAAAGAAAACGATTTGTTTCTAAGCGTCATCAACAGAGGAAGGTTACGAAAAACGTAGAGAATATTGTTGAAAATATTAATAACCTCGATATTCCATCTCCTTCAAACTTTTATTCGGAATCCCTGACTGATCATTCAGTTCAAATAGTTCAGGTTACAATACTTCCGATTTAAACTTTTTATTAACATGTTAAGTACCTAAAATAATGCAAATTACCACGTGGACGACCATTCAGCTGATCCTTTACAAAACTCTTCTTTCAATGAAACTGAAGAAATGTCTAAGCATGGTTGTAATGAGAATTCTGGAGAACATTATCGAGATGTTTTTAATTTTTCTAATAACTTATTCAACTGGACTTTGTCCTTTAATACTAGGTGATTTATTCTTCTTCTTATGGTGCCCTATCTAATTAGTGGATGTTAACAACAATTATGGCATACTCCTCTCGATATTGTGTGGCTCTAAAAAGTGCATGTGGCATCGAGGTTTGTCCTATCCCTTATGTAAAGGTGATTTATTAAAAATTCATAAAGAAGTTCCTGACCTTTCTCATTTGAGTTCAAATGCTAGAACCCTTCTTGCTTCGGTTCACCCAGAGAACAAATACTCTGATCCATATGATTCAAATTTCAATGGTATTTTTATCTTCACAAAAAAACAATGTTATAGAAATTTGTGTACATTTTGATGGAATCCCACTAAAAAAAGAGTTTCTAGTAGTCAGTCATATCCTATCTTGTTTATATATCCTAAAATTGTAGATTTAATAGGCATTTACCATGGTTATGAGAAAACAAAATTTGCAAATGAATGTTTGATTGATTTTGTAACAGAGGCTGTTTTTTTATTAGATAGTTTAAGCTAAAATAATTAAGCATGGATGATCAAGTTTGTGGGGTAGTTAGATTACTGTTACATGTTGATTTATATTTTAGGATAATGAGCTTTCCAAAATTGGCGAGGAGACCATAAATGAATTTGTTAGGAGAAGCCATAAGAAGCTGATCTGGAATAAAATTCAAGGAAAAGATAGTTGGCTAGGGAAAAAGCAATATAAAGTTTTTGAGGACACACATATAGCTCTGATTTTAAAAGGTTTGTAACTTATAAACATAAATCAATTTAAGGTGCATTTAAGAATTTACACTATCACTTAAGTGGCCACATACAGCTGATTAAGCATATTGTTAACTGTGTCTTATATGTAATTTAGATGGCAAATTTTACCAATTCATAAATGTTCAGGTCTGGCTATGAGATTGCTTTAAGAACTACAGCTAGCTTATGAGATAAAGGTTTGTTGTTGGCCATATATTTTATTTATACAGTTATTTTTATTTTTTACATATAAAAGTGTAATTACTGCTCATTTGGTCATTAGAAATAAATAAAAATGGTTGGGTTGGTATTCTTCTAATTCAGGTGAGATTCGTTAAAACTACAGCACTTGAAATTCGTGTGTTTAATTTTACTTTGAATTATGATTTATTCACAAAAAGCAAAGTATAATGAACTAAATCTGAAAATAGTTTATTCAATTTATGAATGTACATTAATTTTGTTTTCAGATGTTGCTTGGAAAAACTCCAAAACCAGCGTTGCCATGGGGAAGGAAGTTGAAACTTGATAATGAAATATCTGAGGAAATATTTAAAGAGAGGGCAGATAAAATTTAACTTGCATGTTGCATTAGCAAATATGATTAATTTTGTAATGATTAAATTGTGTAGTTCATGGACACAAAGGAACAGTCCAATGTTTGAGACTTTTATATATTAAAAATAAATACCTAAAAATTAATCTACTGTTGAAAGAAAACAGACAAAGTTCCATATTAGATATTGATCTTTTTCATATCTTTTTATGTAGGCATCTATGGCTTATTTTTTATAAATCTCTGAATGAGGGTCACTTTTCATCACAATTTATTTATTGATTTTATACTTAACTCATTGATTCCTAATTATCGTTCCATTATAATTCTTTCTGCTATTCCTAAAATTGTCGAGGCTTTACTGACTGATTTTTTGACAGTAAATTTGAAGAATCAGCTTCATACTGGTCAGCGTGGTTTACTTACTGTCTAGTCGTTCAACTTCAACTAATTTATACTGATTATGTTATAATTGCGTTAAAAACCATTTTTATGTTGGTTAGATTTATACTGACTCATCTACAAGCATCAACTGTTCTTGTAATTTGTGTAGACCATATTCTTATTCTAATATGATCAATTTCTTGAATCTGGATTCTCTTATCAAAAGTGTTACCTTTTAATCTTTATTTTTCAACTTTATAAAATAACCAATCTACTGAATTGCTTCAGCTAGTTTGTTTTCATATTCCTTCCCATTCACTGTGGCAGAATTTACATTTCCATGTTCCTTACCACAGAACTAATTATGTTTCACACATAGAGATGGTCTAAAACTTTCATATCAATAGCTTTAGGTACTATTTGAAGCACTTAAATGCTAAATGAAACTCATTATAAAATGTGTACTTATTTATTTTATTCATGTATATTTTATTTTATCTGTAATTTTGTCTATATTTCTATAATGTTGCATTTTTGTATAATTTTGACAGTGAATTTGTTCCATTTGTTAATAATAAATCAATATTATGTAATAATAAATGTTAGTTCCTTTAAACATTTATGTTTTATTACACAAAATTATTTTATATTTCTATAATGTTGCATTTTTGCATAATTTTGACAGTGAATTTGTCCCGTTTGTTAATAATAAATAAATATAAATAAATGTAATAATAAATGTAAGTTTCTTTAAACATTTAAGTTTTATTTCCCAAAATACATTCTTAATATGCACAGGATGACACCACTTTTAGTACTTTATGCAATGGCGTTGACGTCTAATTTACATCCTGAGCGCTAAAATAGATATCCGAAAATATCACAAAAGTCCGTCAAGTAAGTTCTCTGGACGTATTATGGACGTCCGATTAAGGTCCAATTAACGTCCCGGTACGTCCATTTTACGTCCGCTCGGGACGTAAAATGGACGTCCATAGGACGTTTGGCGCAGCGACATTCGGACCAATATACGACGTAAAACGGACGTAAATAGGACCAAAGCGGACGTTCGAGGGACGTCCCTAAAGTCCGCGAGGGACGTACTATGGACGTCCACTGGACGTACATGTGCTATTAGGGTAGTTTTATGATTTGTTAGGATTAAATGTCGTATCTACCAAAAGTCTAATTTCAAATACTCTGAAAGAAAATTGCACGCACTCATTAAGTTTGTACTCAAAAAATATATTGCTATGTTCTAACAATATTTTTAATGAATCATCACAGTTGATGCCAATTAATCAAATTTAAAACATCGAATATTTCAAAATACTAATTTTGTTAGTTACGACTTCTATTCTTAACAGGGCAGTATTGATGGTACAACTGTCCCTCTTTCATATGGTGCGCCAAGTATTACAGTATTTTCATCATTTTATGGGTAATAATTGCAATAAAAATTCTTCAATTAATTCAATTTTAAAATAACCGATATATCGATCTAATGGGCTTAAGAAGCATGACAAGTCCTAACTTTGGTTGCAATATCAATGGCGCAGATTGATTTTTATAGGCCTATACACAAATAATAAGGATTTTGTCTTATTTTACACTTTTTGAAGCAAAAACTTTTAGAATAGAAGACAAATTTTGAAAATTCGTGGTAAGTAAAAATTTAGAAAATTGAATTTTTCGCTATTATTTGTTAATTAAAAAAAAACACAGTCCCTAGAAACATGTAGGTTTTTTAATAGGTTTAGAAATAAAAAAAAACTTACTGTCCTGGAGTAATCTAAAAAAAACTAGAAAACATTTACGAATACATACCTTTGTGATACAAACATCGGGAGTATCTGTAGATGGTTGCGCACTACAATAATGCCGACATATTAACAATAAGAAAACAAACTGTAAATTAACTAACATATTAATATACATTTAAATATTTTTTATTAAAGTAATGAAGTTTAATTGTTATTATTTCTTCTATATTAAACTGTCGGCACTTTGACAATACATGCCATTGATCAAGAATATGTTATGAATTTTTCCGTTACTTCAGTCGCGATACCTGTTAATATTTAATTTTTAATTTAATGTTATAACAATTGAAATTATTATTATTAACCAAATATATACAGAGCTAAGGACGGAAGTGGAAACTTTAACCACATTTAGTTGGTAAGATTTCTTGTGATTTAAATTTTTGAAAGTAAATCTAATCAGACATAGTTATTTATATGTTTATGTAAATAATTAAATGATGAACAGTATATTTTCCTACGATAATTTCATATACCATCTTATAGAGAACTAAAAACATTAGCTAAATGACCATTGTAAGTTTAGTTTGAACTCATAATGTATCATCATTGGAACTTGATGGTATGGCTAAAATAAAATTGAACTGGGTACTCATCAACAACGTAAGATGGTTCATAAAAAAACTATAAAAATAAATTCATTAAAAGATATATGAAATATTTATATTTGTGATGAAGTAAAATGATAACCTATTAAGGCTGTTTCTATTAAGTTTCTTCAAATTCATACTTTCTTCTTATGTTTAAATAACGCTACATTTAACGTACTATTTATTATTTTTCAGCATATATATATATATATATATATATATATATATATATATATATATATATATACAATTTATTGTGTTGGAATATCGGGTATGCGGTCTGTTATTATTAAAAAAAAAACTCTTTTTTCTTTTAATCCTCTATATTTCGCTGATTTTTTGCCAGCTTCATCAGGAGACAACTAAAATATGATTAAAAGTTATATAAGAATCAGTTTAGAATACACAATGACTTACTTACAGATTTAGAGTGGAAAGTATTTAAACAAGTTGTTAACCATAATTTGTTCAAAACAGTACTGACAGATATAGCTCAACTGTCCCGTGTCTGCCTTGTAATTTACTGCATAGTTTTCTCTATTTATATGACACATTTCCAAAAACAATTTTTTTTTGTAATTATTTTCTTGCTGTAGAACCCTGACATTTAAGTATTCAAATTGATGGCCAGTTTTTAAGTGATGGTCAACTGCAGCACATGTATTCTTCCGTTTTGTGCAGTCACTTTTGTGTTGGGTGACCCTTTGTTTTAGCCATTGAGAAGTTTGGCCAACATAACAGCTCTGGCAATCCAAACAAGGCAGTTTGTAGATAACATTAGTTTTATTTACAGTTGGTGTCTTGTCTTTAATTTTAGAAAACAGTTGTCAGTTTTCTAATAAATTATATTGGACAATTTTAATGTTAGTAAATTGTTTAAATAAACTAGTCACAGAAGTGGTTAATTGTTTTATTAATGGTAGTTTTTTATATTGTATTGCTTGTACTGCTCCAATATCAGTGGGACCGTCAAAAATGTCAGAGTTAAATATCAATTTTTTAAGGATATGTTTTGGGTATTTATTATTTTGAAAGATGTTTAATTTCTTTATATTCTTCATTGAAATGACTGTATTAAACTTTTGATAAGTAGGTAATTGATTCATAGAATCTTCTACTAATTACCTACAGTTCCAAGTGTATGAACCTTGGACTGTGGAAATTATTTTTTCGTTGATCACCTATGGCGGAATATCCAGCCATAATGTTGACGTTTATTATTTTTATATGAGGTTGAATGAATTTCGCCTGTTTGTTCGTTCTAGACTGGTTAATGCGAGGAATTGCTGTTATTAATACCAATTTCATTAGTTGATCTCTTACAAGCGGGTTGTCATCCAGACTCATTTGAACTTTTTAAATACATCGCCCAATTATTTAGGTTGGTATTTCAACCTTGCTGCTCTCTCAAATTTTTGACCTCAAGGTTGGCTGTCTTTTCACGGTTTTGGCTCGGTCTGTTTCAATTAACGTCATTTTCCCGTCAGCAGTTGTGAGGCTTTGAGTGGTAACTTCATTTTACACTCAAACTTAATTTTTAACTTCATTCTTTATTCAAATCACTTTAATAATGCTACCTAAAATTAAAATCAAAGCCTAAATAATTTTCATATAGTTGGAAGTAAATCTATGATATTCTTAGTTCTTTTTCACTGCTTAATATTAAAATAAAATATTACATATACTTTAGACCACATGTTCTGTTGCTGTGCTAATTTTTTAATAAGTTGCTAAATGTTGTTAGTTAACTGATTGTTACATTGTGTTACAATATTACCGTATAATGTCCATTTACTTGAGTTTACTCACATATCTGATAATATCATTGACTGCTATATGTCTTTTTAAGGTAACACTTATAACATCTTCTCCATGATTGTGTGGTTCTCATATTGTACTTTTTAGATGAACTGATGATGCTTTTAGAATACGAAAGCGAAACGTCTTCAAAATAGATAAAGTAGCCTATCAACTTTGTCTTTTATTTCTCCAGCTTTAGACCGATATAAGAACCCACCATGAGTGATCCTTATATAAATATAAATATTTATATATATATATATATATATATATATATATATATATATATATATATATATTATTTGTAGTCTCAGCAATTGGTCTGTGTGAAATAAAACTCTATTTGTTATTTCTCAATATTTCGTCACGATTTTGTGACTTCTTCAGGAGAAAACTGTAAATTTATTATAATTATTATATGTAAACAAAATGAATATTTTGTTCTCAAAAATAAAAGTTAAAACTCCAAATTCACTAATGAGTAATATAATTTATAGAATAAATTGCAGTCAATGTCAAAGTTGTTATATTGGACAAAGTCAACAGTGGCTTAAACAACGTGTCACTCAACACAAAAGTGACTTTAACTTACGAAAAAACTCTTGTGCCTTAGTAGACCACCACTTAAAGACAGGACATAACTTTGACTTTAATAATGTAAAAATATTAGAACAAATTGATAATTATAAAAATCGACTTTTCCTTGAAATGGTACACATTAATAAAACTCCAGAATCTATCAATTATAAGACAGACACCAACCATTTAAGTAATATCTACTGTAATATACTAAACAATATATAATATGATAGATCTTCATATCTTCATATCTAACAACATCAGACCAATAACTGACTACGTACCATCAATTACATTTTATAGATCAATTTACCATGTTCCTGATTCTTTCTCAATATTCTACTTTTGCACCTTATTATATGGATAATACTGTCACAATATGTAATTGTTTATTAAAACTTATTCGCTAAAAATTGTACAATGGGAATTCACTCTATAAAATATTGCGGTTACCATAACTCCCAAATAAATTAAATCAAAAAAATGTCATTTATCTAATTGGATATGTTATCAAAATTTAAAATTTTTAATCTTAAGTTGTAAGTATTGAAATATTCATTTTGTTTACATATAATAATTATAATAAATTTACAGTTTTCTCCTAAAGAAGTCACAAAATCGTGACGAAATATTGAGAAATAACAAATAGAGTTTTATTTCACACAGACCAATTGCTGAGACTACAAATAATATTTAACACAGTACGGTCGAGAATAATTTGATAAATATATATATATATATATATATATATATATATATATATATATATATATATATATATATATATATATATATCTGGCCTACTCGATACTGGTTTATAGGTAACAACCTATGTACGTAATAATGTAATGATAATTAATTGTCAAGTGTGATAACAGTATCTTTTTAGTTGCGACTTCCAGGAATTTGCGGGTTTAGTTATTTAAAAGCCATTATCACTTTTAGTTAAATAAGTTATTTAAAATACAAAGTTTAGCAAATTTAATTTGCTTACTTCTTGGGTTTTATAAAAAAACATGGATTTACTGGTAAAAACAAACACAGTAAACTCCTGAAGAAATTTGTAAAACATATTAATAGACTTTAAATAGGTAAAGAAATAATAATAAGACTTACTCACAATCAATTTAATTTAACAATCAGACGACCGGTTTCGCTTTCTGCAATTTGCAAAGCATCTTCAGGTCTAGATACAAGAAGAAGGTATCTAGACCTGAAGATGCTTTGCAAATTGTAGAAAGCGAAACCGGTCGTCTGATTGTTAAATTAAATTGATTGTGAGTAAGTCTTATTATTATTTCTTTACCTATTTGATATGGACTCACACAAGCAACACATTCATGATTTTAATAGACTTTAATTTAAATTGAAATTATACATTAAAAAATCCTAAATTAAACTTAGGTGTATTAAAAACAGCTGCTTTAAAATGATGTAAAGGACTAAAATGTAAATTTTGATCCTTCAAAACTTCATTTTGTGTATTTTTTGATAAGTACAATAAACTATCTCATATTATATTAATCCACATTATTCAGAGTTCCAAAAGAGATCGGATTTATACACATTATACGAAAAACAAAAAAATATATATTTTTGTCATCTAGGTTTACAACATTCATTAGTCAGGAAGGCTGCGAATAGTGCGGCTGCGTTGGGAAGGGTAATGCCTAACATTGGTGGACCCAAATCCAAAAGAAGGAGGATTTTAGACGGTGTTGTACAGTTTATCGTCCTCTACGCGACACCAGTCTGGAGCGAGGCGGTAGAGATAACGGCCTATAAGAGTCTCATGACACAAGTGGACAGAACAAATCTGTTGCGAGTGGCATGCGCCTACAGGACTGTGTCTGCGGCAGCCTTATGAACCATCACTGGATGTGTTTCGTTGCATATTTTGGCGATGGTGGAAAGAAAAGAGCTTCATGAGAAAAGAGGTTCAAATCTTACTGTGGCTCAGAGAAGACAGGAAAGGGAAAGGTCAGTTGAAAGATAGCAAGAAGAGTGGAACAACACGGAGGATGTGGCACAGTGGAAGAAAATGCTGATCCCGAACATAAGAGATTGGATGGACTGTGGTCACAGGTGACTGGATTATTTTCTGATGCAGGTGCTCACAGGACATGGGTGTTTTAGGGCCTACCTCTATAGGATCTGAAAGGCTGATACAGATGAATGCCTATACTGTTACAGTGAGAGAAATTATTGAAAGAATGATTGAAAATAAATTAGGTTGCATTAACATACACAGTTATATCCGTGCAGTGATCAAAAAAAAAGGAAGAGGAAGAAAGACAGCTGGACCAAGGGCAAA